ACTCCCATATAGATACAATTGAGGTGTAATCCCACAAGGGGATCACCCTAAATGAGTGATTGAGATATGGTGATAACTTTCTGAGGTTTGATCCTCTGGTAGGATATCTATATTGTTCTAAGTTTTATGTTACCCGCTCTTAAATTACCCAGACGACCATTAGTACATTGGAACACTTTATGTGTATCCGATGTAACGTTTTGTTTTTGTTCCAAATATTTATACTCCCATAGTTATGAGCAGGCAACTATGCTCAGATATAACTTGCTTATGTGTTTTATAATCCCCACCAATGGCTTTAACAAACAATCCAGTATATTTGGATTTTTTAAATTTAAAACAATAAAAGCATATAAGAAGAAATGAACAAAATCATTTTCACCTATTTGACATTTTCAAATTGTTCACGGCCCAGGGCCAGTGGATGGACATGTCCACTCGAAAATCAGGCATGTTACGGATGACAGACTTCCCAAGAGGACACCCAAATCACCATATGCCGAGAGCTGAGTATAATTCACTCCTAGTGCACTGCGTATGGGGATTACCATTGCCGTGCACTTCCTTAAATTCTCCCAAAACTGGGTGACTGAGCCTATTTATGGGGAGAGCATGAGGACTGATAGCAGCTTTGTCGTCACACTAGAAACTCATTTGACTTGACATGCTTCGGGTGTTATAGACACAGTTTGATGACATTAGAACATTGTGGAGCCTCTGCTAGTTTATACCATCACAGCACATTAAGCAAAGGAAAAGGAGGATGCATAAATCGTGATTTGAAGTGGACCGATGGGTCTTGCACTAATCATTATTATTATTATTTTATTATTTATATAGCGCCATCACATTCCATAGCGCTGTACAATGGGATTACATTTTACTCTGTACCCTCCCATCAATTTTGCCAGGAAACATTTGGGATCCAGATTTGGCTCCCGTGGTCCTGATTCCTATATCTTCACAGCCATTCCTTTTGGATTAGTAGATAAAAGAGAACTGGCCTGCATCCTGGTTAGCAGGTGTAAAAAGGGCTAGTGAATGAGCAGAGAATTTCTGGATTCTAGGACGTCCGGGTGACACACGATTTTTTAAAAACATGAATTTATTTTTAATGTTGTAAATATAATTAGCGAGTCAAATGATTTATTCTAGATCACAGTTCAATGCGTCAAAAAACAACAACGCAACAGTCAGCAAATGTCATAGTCAGATGATTGGATGATTTACTGCTTGCAGTCTCTATTAATTGGACAGAAAAAAAAGCCCATTATGGAATTCTTAGCATGAGCTGTTTAAAGGATGAAAACTAGCAAAAATAAAAATGAACATATGTATAGGGACAGACACATTCTTTTATTATTTAATGTGACACTATAGTCATGTTGTGAATAACGACTTTTACATGTATGGGAAATATGTTGCTGAATACTGTCTGTTGCTCGACTTCCTACAGACAATATGTGTACAAACTAGAAGTGGTACATTGTGCTCACATTAAAGGGACACTGTAGGCACCCACACCATTACAGCTCATTGAAGTGGTCTGGGTGCTGTGTCCCTTTTGCACTTAGTGCTGCAATGTAAAACATTGCAGTTCCAGAGAAACTACAATGTTTACATTGCAGCCCTAAGTCTGGCCTCAGTGGCTGTGTACCAGACAGTCAATAGAGGGCTTCCTGAATTGAAACGGATGTTAGATGGTCCTGTATCTAATGCTGGATGTCCTCACACTCTGCATGTGGACCTCCAGCATCAGATTTTTCCCCATAGAAAAACATTGATTCAATGCTTTCCTATAGTGAGGTCTAATGTGCACGCCGCATTTGCCACGCATGCTCACTAGCGCCTACTAACCGCGGGACATCGGAGGGAGGGGAGCATTGACCCAGTGCAGAGGGACATCGGTGCTGGGATAAAGTAAGTAAATAAAGGGGTTTTAACCCTTTATTTACCCGGGGAGGGGAGCACAAGGGAGGGGGGAGGCAGGGGGAGCAATAGTGCCAGGAATACAGCTTTGTATTCCTGGCACTATAGTATCCCTTTAATGAATAATAAAGACATGTTACAATCATAGGAGTCCCATTAACCAGACTGAAAGTGATGTATTTAATAAACATGGTATACATAACGTAAAGAAAAATAAAGTGACGTGTCAACATGTTGTGTGTGTTCAATTTCCAGTAACAAAAAGTGTCATGTTGTGTGTATGTATTGGAGAAAAAAAATCTGCAATAATCACTCATCTGGGGCTTGCACTTTTACAGCCTGAAAATGAAGTGTTATGTTATCCAACACATGCCACTTTTAATAGATGAACAGTGTTTAGAGAGTGACGTGTTACTATGATAGCTCACATGGTGTAATCATTTATGCCAACCATAGCTAATGCTTTCAATAACCAAGTGCACGACGCATATAATGCATGCGCAGAAAGTAATATGTTGCCCTAATAACTCACATGATGAATGCATTTATACTGACAGCAAGGGACATGTTAATTAACCAGGCATTCCATATACAGAAATGAATAATACACTACATGCCAAAAGTATGAGAGCACTTGCTCATTTAATAACTCATTCCAGAATCATTCTAGAATCATGGACATCAATAAAGAAGTTGCTCCTTCTTCCCACTGCTACTAAAACAACGTACAATTTTCTGGAATGGCTTTCTGCTAGGTGATGGAACATGGCTATGGGTCTCGAGCCTTAGGAAGGTCAAGCACTAGCTTTGACTTTCAGATTATATTCTAACTCAAAGAAATGAGTTTTCGTTGGAATTGCAGTTCGGGCTCTGTGCAGGCCAATCAAATTCCGCTACACTGTTTTCAACAAAGCATTTTTCTACACGTTAAGGCGCTGCCCGTTTTAAACCTCTGTTTTGTTGGCACTATATAAATAATAATAATAATAATAATAAAAAGAACAACATTTGCAGACTATGATTGTGTGCTATATCAATAAAATATAATAAAATTAGAGAGGCATTGTAAGCACTATAACTACTACAGCAGTGGTTATGGTGACAAGGTGTCCCTGGTGCTATCACATGGTTCTAAGGCAAATCTTTATGGGTGTTGTGACACAAACTTTGGGTTCTCCAGATCCCTATATCATGGCCTCTCATTATATTGCTATAGTAGAAGATACATTTTCATAGTATCATTTTTGGCTAGATCTTTGTTAAATTTTATGCATACTAGTGTATGTATAAGTGTAAGTGTTTGTGTGTGTATGCTGGTGTGTGTTGATATATGGCTGTCAGAGTGTGACTGCGTGTATCATTTTGTGTATGATGTAAAGGAGTTGGGGGCACACCCAGGAACATGCATCTTGCAGGAATGGTGCTACCGTAGTGACCAAAATACATATGTAATACATTTGTTTGCTGAGATAGATGATTTTAAATAGCCTTATAAAATATAAAAAAATATATATTTTTGTGTGCGCTGTTCCTTAATCTGTATTAAGTTTGTGTATGACTGCCATTGTGTGTTTGTATGCATTGGTGTGTGTATGTAGTTCAATGTGTTTATGTATGACTGTCAGTACATGTCTGTGTGTGTGTTTGTTAGTGTGTATGACTATCAGTGTATTTCTGTGTGTATGTGTCAGTTTGTGTCGGTGTGTGTCTATGGTTAACTGTAAATGGGTTTAAATGTGTGTTTGGGATTGTGCATTATTGTGTGTCTGTACATCTCACCACCAGTGGCATAACTACAGGGATTGCCAAAGGCACAAGTGCAACCAAGCCCTCTGTGTTTCAATTGTAATGGTGCCCAAGAGTTGACCTGCTGTCCTCCGAGGTGGGCACTGTGTGCATTGTAGACGGGCGTTGAGGAGTCCTGATCTCTGTGCTCTTCTTCTTCTTTACTCTTGCGCTCCTTGCAGTGATCCCAGGAGCCAGCGGAGGACGTCACTCCTGTATGACTAAATGGCGCGCGAGGGAGCAGAGTAAGACAATGACAGGATCACAGCAGCCACACTTAATCTCAAGGACAGGAACACACTGAATCCCAGGGAAATTATCCACTCCAGATCTCCCAAAGGTAGATAAAACATTTGTGAGTGTGTGAGAGAATGTGTATGTCTGTGAGCGTCAGAATTAGTGAGATTGTGCATCTGTTAGTGAATGTATGCGCCTGTCAATGAATGTATGTGCATGTGTGTGTCTGTCAGTGTATGTGTGTCTGTCAGTGTATGCTTGTCAGTGAATGTGTGTGTGTGTGTGTCTGTTAGTGTATGTGTGTGTGTCTATCAGTGAGTGTGTGTCTGTCAGTGAAATTGTGTGTCTGTCAGAGAGTGTGTGTCTGTTAGTGTCTGTCAGTGTGTGTCAAATCAGTGAGAGTGTGTGTCTGTCAATGAATATGAGTGTGTCAGTAAAATGTGTGTGTCAGTCAGAGTGTGTCAAATCAGTGAGTGTGTATGTGTCTGTCAGAAAGTGTGTGTATGTTAGTGAGTGCTTTTTAGTGTACCTGAGAGTTAGTGTGTGTGTCAGCGTCTGTTTGTCAGTGAAAGGATATGTTGGTTAAACAGGGTGTGTGGCAATGAATGTGTGTGTCAGTGAGTGTATGCCAGTGTATGCCAGTATATGTGCATCAGTGAAGGTATGTGCCTGTCAGTGAAAGTGTGTGTTGGATAAACAATGTGTGTATCAATGAGAGCATGTGTGGTCACTGAAAGTGTATGTGCTTGAAAGGATGAAAAAGTTTAACTAAAAACAGTTCCACTCAATTCATGTGATATGTAGTAATATGCATACAGTGTGTATGTATGTCCATATGTATATGCATACACCCAGTATGTATACACATATATGCATTATTAATAAATGTGTATTATATTACAGCGTATATAAAATAAGTGTATATTAAAGAGCATTAAATTCCAACTAGAGGGGCGTGGCCTGTACTCCATCGAAGATGGCAGCTTAACTTGAGAGCTCCATCACACATAGCTCCTATTAGCGCACTATCCAAGTACAGAGGCACGCAGATGGGTCGCACTAAACGACATGACACTCACCAAACCCCGAGGGGCAACCAGGGTTACTCCCAAGCCGGACCGATGGACCGTTTCCTCCAAACGCTGGCGAGTCCATCCTGCAAAAAAGTGGGCCCAAATATGGCCAACACCCTGGTCCCATCACCAACCTCCGATACATCTCCTCTCTCCCTGGCAGACATTAGCGCAAATATCAGGGCACTGTCAAGCAAAATGGTCACCAAATCTGACCTGAAACCGTTCTCGGACACCATCCACGAGGCTGTATGCTCGGAGGTAGCTATGCTGTAGAGAGATACATGGCGGTCACATTCAAACGTTGGAAACAACCGTGCAAACGACGACAAACCAAATCGAGGCCTCTAACCTTGCCATAACAAGAAAGGGCAATATGCTCTTAAACCTTAGATGCCAAAATGAAGACCTGGACAATAGGAGTCGCAGATTCAACATAAGAATACGCAACTTACCCGAGCATATTGAGGAAGAAAATGTGGAGGCCACTCTAATGGCCCTCTTCCATGAAATTCTCAGTGCTGAAACCCAGACCGCATCGAATTTCACTGTGCCCACCGAGCCACCACCCCAGCGATATTATTTCCTGTCTACACACCTATAAGGGGAAGGAAAAGATCATGGCTAAGGCCCGCTCCAGACCAACGTGGCGATTCCGAGGTGCTGAGGTGGCACTTAACCAAGACCTGTCCCCCCTCACACTTGAAGCTCGCAGAGCGCTCAGGCCGGTGACCCTGCTGCTGAGAGAGCATATAAATGGGGATTTCCATTTAGCCTCCTTGCCAAACTGCACAATGAATAGATCCCTTTACGATGGCCGGAAGAAGTGCATGGGACTATCCCACATAGAAGTGCAAGATTGGATCCTCGGGCCACTCAAACAAAGGCCTGGACCGCAGCCCCAGATACCTACCTGGAGGCGCAAAGAGTACTCTCTACGATGTCTGAGTTCACACAGAACTCCGGAGCCAGCACAGCCGGACGAATAACACACTATCTCACACTTGGATCTCCCACTCATTGAATGGGTGAGGCACTTTGAGACGCCCACTGCAGGACAATATCTTCACAGCTCCGGCAAATAAGTACCTTCCCCTCTCCTGACCCACACTAGCCCACATAGTCACCTAAGCCCTACGAGGTCTGGATGTCTTGCCAAGACAGCAGACCCTGAGTCACGACCTAAACAGACCCATTAACATCTGCCCATCCTATTAGCACCCCGCCATCCCCCCCATCCCCTACTGCAAGCTGCAAAAGATCTCAGGAAGCACCCACCCATGCCTGAATGTTCCACACAGTAAGCCTACCAAATGGCTGAAGGCAAAACCAGGAACTGCTGCGACCTGAACAAGGCCTTGGGGACACTTGGGAACATGGGGAATGGGAAGGCAGGGGACGGTATATCACCACAAATGGCTCGGATGAAGTTGGGGCGAGGGGAGAGGGACAACGCTCCCTAACAAGTTTTGGGGAAGATTAGGGGTACGAAGGTGGGAGCTCTGCAGGCAAACAACAAGAAGAGGGGGAGGGAAGAACCGTTCAAAGAAATATACCAAAAATAAATAAATATATATATATATATATATATTCACAGGGAATGCTTTGGGAAGGGTTTGTTACTATGTCTAGCACGAATAATGCTTAATAATGCTAAATAATGCTACTATTAGGGTATGGCTACAACTCGCACAATTACATACACCCCAGATGATAACTAATATGACTATTAAAGCGACTTTCCCAACCCACAAGCAGTGCCACTAACCTTGCCAACCGGAGGGTCGCCCCCCTTCCCCCTATAATATAACCTTACCATCTGTTAGCCACCACAGTAATGCAGCGCAACACTAGCCTATTGCCAAGTAGCACCTTCAATCTACACCTAGGGGCAGAGCGCCCCACCCTGTGCCAGCACGGAGCACATAATTTGCTGCTCATCCTAGCAGACCATAAGACCAAAATAGCTGACGAACCACAGACGGGCCCCTACCATGACAGAACCTACACATCAGTCCCTAGACCTTAGACCAACGGTAACATGACCTCACAGTTTGATATTATTATGCTGATTAGTGCATAGTACCACTTTAATGTGGGTATCGAGACTCACCTAGATCCTTTATTTCTTGTCCACTAACCTAACAAACATACGACTACCAAGCCTACAGAGACTTCCCTTCGTTGATCTCTGGACTACATTCCCGAACAGACTCGTGTACTCCTAGATTATGAAGATGCTGACTTTGGCCCCTCCGTCTGCTGCCTACGTGAGATTCGATGTTGGCGATGGCCAGGTGACCTAATTGCTATACCTACACCACAGAACTTCCCTCCTTACTCTCTCTCTTCGGGTGCGCGTGGGGAGGCTGTATGCTACTTGGCGCCTACCTTGGAAGATCTACTTCATTAGGACAAGTACCTATTGGAACTCAAACAATCCGCAAATGTTTCCAGCATGGTGTATGCTCCTGCTCCCTTCCACATTGTTACACAAAACTGTAGAGGATTGAACAGTCCTGAGAAACAAACGCATCTCCTACGGGAACTCAAACGACAACACATTTCCATAGCACTCCTACAAAAAACACACCTATGAGCAGATGCGAACACACTGCTGAAAGACAGGAACTATCCAGTAAACTATTATAGCACACATCAATCAGCCCGCAAGGCTGGGATAGCAATCCTCCTCGCAGCATCCTTGCAGTTCGTTCTCACTGAGAAGCTGGAAGATCTGGACGGATGGTACCTATTCATAAAAGAGGAAGTGGAACAGAAACTTTATGAATTTGCCTTGATTTACTTCCCCAAATTCTGGGCAAGCTTGCTTTATATGCAGAACAATGGCAAAACTTGCCAAATTCACAGAGGGTATTCTGATACTTGGTGGGGACCTCAACGTCCCTCTTTACCCTCGGGTTGATTAATCAACGGGAACGAGTGGTGTCTCGCATTCGAAACTCCGAACCATCCACAAATCTCTCAGGGATCTGAGACTAGTGGACACATTGAGAGCCCTAGACCCAAGAGGGCCCTGGCACAGATACTCCCGTATCGATTACATTTTTATTCAACAAGAAGGCCGATATATTATTCACACCCTGGTCTGATCACAGCTCTCTTACAATATATCTGGACTCACCCCTATACAGACTGGCACGAACATCGTGGAGATTGAACGAAACACTTCTATCGGACATCCAGATACAGGAACAAGTAACACGCCATTTAACACAGTACTTTGAGGAAAATGCCACTGATGGGATGTCAGGTATGACACTGTGGGAAGTGCACAAGAGCGTTCTTAGTGGGCACTTCATCAGAATGGCCGTTTAAAACAAGAAGGAGACTAGGCTATTAGAAAAGCTTACAGGGAAAATCACTCACCTAGAAATTATTCATAAACACACCCAGATGGAACAGACATATCGAGAACTACTGTCTACGCAACGACAACTATCAGATCTCATAGTACGTAAACACTTCCGAAACATGCAGAGATCCAAACTTTCTTTTATATACAAAAGTGGTAGATTGCTAGCCCAGATGTTACAGGGACTGCAGTTACAAGCCCAAGTCCATGCCTTGCAAACATCACAAGGCAAACTAACACAATTCCCAGAAGACACAGCAGGAGAATTCTTGAAATTTTATGAAAAGCTATATATTGCCCACAACACTACAGCTAGACCTCCTACAGAAACGACATAAGGGGACACAGACGAGTACCTCAGAAAATTCACACCAGAAGCCCTTTACCCTGGCAGAAGCCAACAAACTGGAAGCCCCCATTTCTGAGGACGAAATCCGGGGAGCATTGACATCCGCAAAGAAGGGTAAAGCGTCTTCCCTTAGGGTATCTTAAGAAATCTGGCGAGATACTGATCCCGAGACTCATAAAGGCATTGAATCAACTAAGAGACAGAGCCACAGTCAATTGCCACGTGGCAATTACCGCCCAATCTCCCTTCTCAACACGGATGTGAAAATCTTCTGCAAGATTCTAGCAACGAGGATACAGACCTTCATGCCTCGACTCATCCATTCGGACCAGACAGGCTTCATCCTGGGAAGGGAGGTGAGAGATTGCACTCGGCGAACGTTCTCAATTCAACACTTTGGTGAAACGGAAAGGCAGGAAATTACTCTTTCTCTCCACCGAAACTGAGAAGGCATTCGACCGGGTAGACTGGCACTTCATGATGACAACGCTACGGAAGAACGGATTAGGCGAGGGTATGCTTACCTGGATTAACTCACTTTATCAGAATCCAAGCGCTAGCGTCCAGGACAATGGAGCGCTCACAAACAGCTTCACTATTGAAAATGGCACCAGACAGGGATGCCCACTCTCACCCCTGCTCTTTGCCCTCACCTTGGAGCCATTTCTCGACCGAATTAGGAACACACCCTCAGTCAAGGGATTCCGATTTAAAACCCAGGAACATAAGGTAACTGCATATGCAGACGACATGTTATTTTTTATTGAAGTCCCGCTTACAACTTTGACTTCTCTAATAGAAGAATTCCAAGCCTATGGGTGCCGGTCCGGCCTTAAATTAAACTACCGAACATCACTATTCCGACGGAGGATTGTGCCCAACTCCAACAAAGATTCCCATTCCATTGGTGTACGAATCACTTGAGATATCTGGGGCTGTGGATCATGCGAGCAGCGAAGGACATTTGCAGCCAAAATTATGCACCGCTTCTAAATACTATCCTGGAGGATCTCAAGAAATGGAATTCTAATCACCTTTCCTGTCGGGGTCATATAGCAGTGTTGAAAATTATCAGAGATCCTCAAATTTATCTGGAAAGGAGATAGTGCTAGAATATGCCATGAGAAACGTCTTCCGAAAGAATGGGTCAGACTGGCATTACCTGACTTTCGCGAATATTATCACGCAACGGTACCACAGAGACTCCAGTAATTACATACTGCCTCGCCACAAAAGCTCTGGGTATCGCTGAGCAGAGCTGCCGCCGCCAACTCCCTACAGGCATTGATCTGGCATAGGGAAACAGATGCTACAAACGTTTTATTGGAGGACTCACCTATAGTACAAATGCTAAAGACATGGTCCACCCTACATCTCCCCGAAACCAAGTCACCTAATACCTATAAACCACAATCCAGACCTGGGAGATGGACTTCCACCAATGGTCTGGCCAGTGACCAACCAGGAGGGATTTATCCCCCTACAAAGTGTGCTCAGCGATACAGGGGTGAGAGGCCTACAAGATCTCCTTATAGAACAAGCACCCACATT